AGTGTCCAGGACATGGCCTGGGAGTAGTGTTTGCATTCAGTGGACTCTGGTGTGAAAGCTACCCACCGCCCCCTTTAACTTGACTACCCACTCCTTAGCCACAGCTGCTCGGCTGGCACCAGTGGGAGTCCTTGTCCTGATTAGTAACACAGTGCAAAACACAATTGTGGAGGCAAAATGGAATGAAGTACATTTATTTGAAAGGTGAATCCTCATCCTCCTTCTCTCATAGCTTTGGTGAGATTGATTACCTTTGCCCTGGTAGATTTTCTCATGCGGTTGTGTAAGTTTGTGTCTGCACATCTTAAGTAATTCTTGAGAGATCAAATTTTAGTTAAAACTGTTCTGGAAAATATTGCCACTCAAGAACACTTCTGCACAAGGGGAAATCCAAACAGTAGTCAAACATACACAAGCACGATTGGCAGTCAAGAAAATACACTCAGACACTTGGGAAGAACCGTTTCATGTCAGCCACAATTAGTAAACACTTAAGTAAAGCATCGTGACTAATGAGGATGTAGTGAAGCCACAAACTTAGACTTGGGTAGAAGTATTTTATCCACTGACTTTTTAGAAGAAAGTTTGTCAGTTTGTAGAAAAAAATTCTCAAAACATGTTTACCCTTTAACTTAGTAATTTCACTGTTGGGGAGTTAACTGAGAGATTAAATGTTAGAAAAAAACTAAGTATAATAATTTTTTAAAATGAGCAAACTACAACAGCATAGAACTTTTTTTTTTTTTTATTGAGTTTATTGGTACATTTAGGGATACAGTACAGTTACATTCATTGTTGGGATCATGTACCTTTACATGGCAAGTCTTGATTCTCATTTTTTTCCCCTTACCTCTGCCCTCCCTTCACCCCCTCCTCCCCTCCCCATCTACAAACACTTTATTTTCATCTTTTCATTCTCTCACATTTTTTTCTTTTCCCTTTTTGTTCTTCCCCTGAACTTTTTTAATATTATATATGAGCAGAATGGTTGGCGCTACGTGAATTAATATACATTCATTAAAATGGGTAAATATGAAGATTATGTGAATCTTCACTGAATGACCTATCTTTCCTTTCTCTTGGACCATAAGAGTGCTTTATTTTCATCTTTTCATTCTCTCACATTTTTTTCTTTTCCCTTTTTGTTCTTCCCCTGAACTTTTTTAATATTATATATGAGCAGAATGGTTGGCGCTACGTGAATTAATATACATTCATTAAAATGGGTAAATATGAAGATTATGTGAATCTTCACTGAATGACCTATCTTTCCTTTCTCTTGGACCATAAGAGTGGCTGAGCCAAGGCGGAAGCTCCAACATGGCACTTCGTAGACCTTTCTCGTCTCTGTACTTTAAAACAACAGCAGCAGCCCCCCGCCCCAGAAAAAAAAAATTCTCCTGAGTTTGTGTGCTTCTTATACTTTTCTTTTTGTTTTTAATTGTTCCCTTTATGTTCTTGTTATTTGATCATTGTTTGTTCTTTGTAGGTCTTGGTATAATGGGAGAAGTTAAAATGGGAAAAAGTCCAAATCAAAGCTAAAATTAAATTTAAAATTATTGCTGCAGATGGACAGTGACTGAAAGGAGTATTCACAGTTTAAAAATGGTTTAATTCTTGTTGGCGTGTCTGTATTTTGGGAAATGTTTTAGCCCTTCTTTTAGAACTCTGTTACACTGCCTCAGATTGCAGTCGGCCCTCCACGTCCTTGAGTTCTGCATCCATGTATTCAACTCCCTTTGGATCGAACATGTTTGAAAAAAATTGTGTCTGTACTGAACATGTAAAGACTTCCTTGTCCTTATCCCACAGACAAAATAGAATAGCAACTATTTATATAGCACTAACATTGTATTAGGCATTAAAGGTAACCTAGAGATGATTTGAAGTATATGAGTGAATGGATGCAGATGGTATATAAATATGGTGCCATTTTACATTAGGGACCTGAGTAACCGATTCTGTATCCACCGGCGGTCCTGAAATCAATCCCCACAGATACCGAGGAATGACTGTATCTGTATAATTAAAACAAACAAGAACATTCTTCCTTGCCCATCCAGAATTGAATTTCTAATCATTGTTTGTAATTCATGATAGGTCCTTGGTTTAGTTGTTTTGAGAGTAAATTTCCAGGCCATTAATCATCATTTTGCCTAAGAAAAAAATTTAGCATTCAATTTTTAAAGTGTTTTCTTTGTTCCTTCCAAATATTTGTCCTGGGTTTTGTGATGTTACTAGGCATTGGTGATTATTGGTAAAATGGTAATTTAATTTCATTATTCTTGTTTTTATAGTTGACTGCTTGTACAAAGAGATACTTGATTTTTCTCATCTATCCCATTACTCTGAGTTGCAGGAAAGATGAAAAATAAGAGTTCTGTAGGATACTCCAGAGGCTAGTACTGTATGTTAGCCTTCTGCTGCTGCTGCAGCTGCAGCAGATTACCATGAAGTTGGTGGCTTAAAAATACGTATTTAGAATCTTACACTCTTGAAAGCCAGAGATCTGAAATAGATCTCACTGCGTCCAGGTGGTGGTAGCTCTGTGTTCTTCCTGAAGGCCCCAGGGCTCTTTGTCTTTTCCACCTCCTTGTGGGATGCCTGGTTTCTAGACTGCTGGTTCTTTTCTATCTTCTCAGCCACAGTAGTTGAAGGAGTCTTTTTCTTTCTTTCCCTTTTCTACCTTTAAGGATCCTTTTGGTTAAGGACCTACATGGTAATCCAGAATAACATTTCTATTTTAAGGTCAACTGATTAGCAACTTTAATTCCATTTGTTACTTTTATTCTCTCTTGCCACTTGAGGATTAGGATGTGATCATTTTGGAGGAACTGTTACCCACCTATCAGATTGACTTTAAAAGTATGAACTCATGGATTTCTTGCTCACTTTTCTTTTTTGGTACTGGGGATTAAACCAAGGGCCTTGCGCATGCTAAGCAGTGCTCTGCCACGTAGCTGCACCTGCAGGCCTGATTTTGGATGTATTTTAATTCATTTTGGTTATCCTTATTAAAATTCTAATTTTTCTCTCCTTGGACAGTGGAAGATGCTTATTCTAGTTGATTGCTGAGTTCCTGGGAAGTGAGCTTTGATAGTTTCCTTTGGGTCTGAAAGGACGTCTGGGGCCGTCTTGTGCATCCCTCTTCCAAGTCTGCAGCCATCCCTTTCTCTGCTGCAGACTTGGATATGCATCACAGTTACCTGGAGGACTTGTTAAAACGTAGATGGAGGGGTCACCTACTTCCGAGATTCCACCTCATAGGCCTGGCGTGGGGCCCTAAATATGTGTAGTTAGTTGTCAAGTGATGCTTATGATGCCGCTTTCGGGCCTACACTTTGAGACTCCCTGCTTGAAGGGACTCGGTTCCTCGAGTAGGAAATGGAGTCGGAAATGACAGTCTGGATACCAGGGCGCACGCTACCTCTGGCCTTCTTCAGTGAAAGGAAGGAAATAAACAAAATATGTTCATATTGATGGTTAAAATTTAAATGTATAATTGCAAGTTTTAGTTTAACTTCTTTTTATAGTTTCTCATGCTTAAAATCTTGCTTCTTATGAGATTAATAATTACATATCTAATAGTACATTATGTACATTCACAGTTTGAGAATAACAGTAACAATATCGATACTTACAACATGATTACTGAAAACAGTTTAAGATTTTTTGCAGTCCTTTTGTTTTTATATAAATATTTCACCTAGTGATGTATAGATTACTCTGCTTTCCTGTTACTGATATAATTCCTCTGTTTGCATGACCAGTCATCTTGATACAAAGATTCATCTGTTTGTTTGCTCTACTTTCAGTTTTGGGTGGTTTTTCTTTTATTTTAAAGATAAATATATAAACATTTAAATGGTTCCAATGTCATGTCTATAAATAAAATGAATTTTAGCTCCTCTTTTTTTTTTTTTTAAAGACATAGTCTCACTATGTAGCGCAGGCTGGCCTTGAACTCACTAGCTGAGGCAGACCTACCTTGAACTTGTGGGGATCCTCCTGCCTCAGCCTCCCAAGTGCTGGGATTACAGGGTGTGTGCCACTATGCCTGGCTTGTAGCCCCTCTTCTACCTCTTCTACCTTGTTCTGCCTTGTATTTTATAGGCACATCATTTAATTTGTCCTGTGGTTAAATAAATGGTAGTGTGTTATACACACTTATTTCTCTTGGGTTCCCCTTTCTCTCTCTCAGCTTAATATATTCTGAACATTACTTTAGGGTAGTATATTTGTAGAGAGAGTCTTCATTCCTTCTCCTTTATAGCTTGAGAGTGCTCCATTGCGAGAATGTAGCATAGTTTATTCTTCTATTGGTAGACATTTGGATTGGGTACAACTTTTTGCTGTTACGAATTATACTACAGCATTACAAAGAGTACATATTTTAAGGTAGTCATACGTATACTCTATGCTGTTTTTTTTTCCTGCCTTCCCTAACATTATAACATGTACACTCTGTGTTGTATAAATTCTTTGTAAATGGCATTAAGGCTTTTTTCTGATAATTAAAACAATACAAGATTACTCAGAAATTTTTAGAAGCTCAGAGGAAAAAACAAAAATAAAACACAATCTCTCTGCTTAGGGATACTTACTATTTTGATGTATTCCCTCAGGGCCTTCTAGCATTTGTATAAACGTTTATAAAGCAGTCAGTATATATGTTTTGGTACCTTGGTTTGTTTTTACTCATTGTGCTTTTTAAAAAAATACTGTACTCTTTAAAATTTTGTTATTTCTCTGTTGTTGGTCTTGTCTTTCTGATTTTTCAGCATTACAAATAGTAAGTATGTGCATAAAATATTTTCTGACTTTCACATATTCTTAAAGTTGGTTTCTGTAAGACTCTAAATGGGAAGAAAGTGTATATTTGTTAAATATATCTTTAGCTTGTTGTCTTCTAGCAATAATTTGGCAAGCCTAACATGTAAGAGATTGTGACCTTGACATTTTTGATAAATAAATTCCATATTTTCTTTTTCTTTTGATAGGACCTAAGAAATGAAGTTGAAAAATTACGCAATGAGGTAAATGAACGAGAGAAGGCAGTGGAGAATCGTTATAAGAGTCTTTTGAGTGAAAGCAATAAAAGATTGCATAATCAGGAACAAGTGATCAAACATCTAACAGAAAGCTCCAATCAAAAGGACTTGTTGCTTCAGGTACCATGACTTTTTTTTTCTTTTGTATTTAAATCCTTTAATTTAGCACCCCTCCCTGCTTTCTTTTATAGGAAGATTCGTAATGTTAGTCTTCATTGCTGTGATTTAGGGCTCTTTGTTTTCTGTATCATTTGGGCCTTCGCCACTAGGGAGGTAAGAGAATCAGAGAGCTCAGAGTGAAGAACTCATCCCGGGTCATGTGCTGGGCAGCTGGCGCCTGGCCTGTTCTACTTCAGTGCCCAGGCCACTCACCGAGGCACCTGTGCTGTGAGTACTGCCTGTGCCTGATTTGGGACAGGCCCCTTCTCTCCTCTATACTTCTCCATCTGTTCCTTTCAGCTTTGAAATTCCTTTCTTGTCTGGTGTGTCATGAATTTTTGAGATTGAATTCAGCCCTGTAAGTAACCACAGTGGGATGGGCTGAACATAGGTATTTAATTCTGCTTCCTTCGGAAAGCCTGAGGACTAACTGGGAGAATGGGAGGAGGCACAACAGTAGGTGAGAGTGGAAAGCCCGGCGTTGGATATTAGTGGCTGAGCAGTTGCATAGGATTCAGCTTTTGCCATTCTGCTACAAATTTGGGGTTGAAAAGCCAACAAGAAATAAACTGATTTTGATACAACTCCAGAAAGGCTCAGCAAGTTTTGAATGTAACCTAATAACTGAAAACAGGAGATTTAGCTGGAATTTTAAGCAGTTGTAGGTGATACTCTTCTCACCACCAGCAGGAGACCTCTGGAGACCTTAAACCATAGAAACTCTAGCCTGGAGGTCACCAGATACAACAGGAAAGCAGGAGTGGATCGCTTGAATGAAGGTGAGGGGAAGTAAACAGTGTGCATAGTAAGCAATGAGATTCCTCTGAGGAGAGAAAAATCGGAAAGGTACTGAGCATTGAGAGTCCTCCAGCCAAACAGCCTGGTGTCCACCTAAGCATCTCCCAGTGAAGCCACTGCTGCCAGGGCCTTGCTACACTCTCAGGGTTTCTGAGCACTTTTAACACTTGAAGGTAGGTAGATTGCTTTAGTCCATCAAACAGGAGAAAAGTGTTTAAGATGATAGACAGAGGCACACTGACAAAGGCATACAGAACAAAGGCACACAGAGGAAGTAGAAACAGTGAAAAATTAGATAGCTTTTAAAAATCCAAAGAGTTCAATTGCTATAACATCATAAGCTAAGAAATAAGATCAGGATCTGATTTTAAAAAGATACCTACAAAAGAAAAATGACCTGTTGGGAATTCAGAGTATGGTTGTAGATATAAAATGATTAATAGAAAAGTTAGAAGATAAAGTTGATTAAGTCTTCCAGAAAATAGAATTAAATGAAAAAAATATTGGGAAAAAAAAAAAAGGAGAGAAAAGATAAGGAAACTAGAGGCATGATGCAAGGGCTCCAAAATATGACCAACGGGAGTTCCAGGAGGACAGAACAGGTGAAGCAGAGGGAAGAAAAATTTCCAGGTAATGAGAGGCTGTTTCCCAGAATGGAAGGACAGCTGTTCCTGCAAGGCCCTTATCTGTTTTTCCCCAAGGAGTAAAAGAAGACAATATGCCTAGGGAAGTCATTGTGGAATTTCAGAACACAGGGATAAAGAGAGGATCTGAAAGGCTTCCGGTGAGAGAGGACAGAATAGGTTACATAGAGAAGAGCTGGACTTGCTCTGACATCAGCATTCTTAGCAGCAACAGTGGACACAGAAGATAGAGGAACCGTGCATTTAGACTTTGAGGAAAGGTGATTTCCAATTCAGCATCCTGCCCTCAGCCAAGCTGTCAGCAAGGGTAAGGGTAGTTTAAAGGTGTTGCTAGTTTGGTATTCTCAGTCATCTGCCTCTCATGTACTCTTGAAGGAAGCTCTGGGAGGGTGATTCCAGTAAAAAAGGGAATAAGCAGAGAGAGAGAGAGAGAGGGAGGGAGGGAGGGAGGGAGGGTTCAGAGAGTAGGGAATTCCCTTGGAACATAGCACAGGGAAGTCCCAGGATGAAGCTGAGCCACTCATGTGGAAAACCCAGGGCTTTGAGGGAGGGTGTCAGCTGGGACAGCTCCAAGAAATAAAATGGAACTGGTTGATTACCTGGTGTATTTTAAGTTCTTTTAGAGAGTTTGGAAATAAAATTTACATTTAGTACATAATTAAATTTTATAAACCAAGTAAACAAATAGCATAAAGCATTTACTAATTCCAAGAAAGCAAAGAGTTGAACATGAACAGAAATGTAATCATGGAACACTGGCTGAGCAGTATTTGCATAGCTATAAAAGTGTAAATGTGGAATATTGATTTGACTAACAGTATGATATAATTGTGAGGAAAAATGTTGAAGTGCAGATGATATGAGAGCTAAGTTCTTAAACTTCTGTAATGTGAGCCAGTAGATGAAACTGAAACCTAAGCAATCAGGAAATTCAAGAGTAAGAATATAGTATAGAAGCAGGGAAAGAAATAGCTGAAGAAATAGCTAAAGAGTTGCAAGTTGTTTTTTTCTGGAAGTGGAACTTAGAGGTGAGAAATGGGGAGGTAGGGAATTACTGTTTACCAGTTAAACCTTATACAGTGCCATTTGACAAACTATATGTGTATAATTGAACTTTTCAGAAATGAAAATGAACATGTAATTCAAGCACAGCTGTATTAAGGCAATACTAGGAAGGTAGTGTTGGTTGTTTGATTCCTAGTTCTTCCTGTTACAGTTCAATGGGTTCTTACAGAGAATTGCTTCTGCTTCTGTCTTCTATGAGTTCACCTAAATGCTTCTAAATATTTGGCAAGCTCAGTCTCTGCTATGGGCTTAGGAGTAAAGCTGTGGTTCCTTCTCTTGATTTCCCACAGAGAGTGAACAGAACCCAAGTTCAGGAGCCTTCCAGTTTTAAGTGGTTGGAATAGATTCTGTGCTTGAACGTGGCCAAAGACCAGAGAAGTGGTCTGCAGCCGCATCATGTTGTTGGATTCAAATCTTCCCAAGGGGTAGAGGTAGGGATTGTATTGTGCATTGGCAAGAAAGATCCTTTCAGGAGTGACACCTTATGCACAGTCCTGGCTTTTTCTTTCTGGAAATCAGCTCTCTTTATGGATGTAGATGATTTAAATTTTGTGAAATTTGCAGTGTCTCGAGAGACTAATACTTGGTTGGATTTTAACGTACAAGCTCTCAAATCATCCCCATAGGCCAGCAGAATAGGAAGCAGAGCTGAGATGACACCCTAGGATGGACCCAGGAGTGTCACTAGTTCTGTGAGTCGGAGCCTGCTGCTATCTTCCACACCCACTGAAGTGCAGTCACAGTGGTGACAAGTAGGGAAGATTTGTGGTGACTGCCGCCATCCTCGACTCTGCCTTGCTGGAACGCTGCTACTCTCCCATTTGTAATAACTCAGAAATGGAGTTGCATTACAGTTTTGTAATTGCCTAATATTTTGGGATGATGGAAATTATTTAGGGGACCTATAGATATTGTGACAAAATAAAAAATCTTCCTTTACAGAGTTTGGGGAAAATCTCTTAATATTTCTTTCTTGATGAAAACTTTCTTATAATTTCTTTCATTTCTTTAGAAATTCAATGAAAAAGATTTGGAAGCAATACAGCAGCACTGTTATTTAATGACTGCGGAGGATCTCAAGTTCAGGAGCGAAGGCTTAATAACAGAAAAGTGTTCTTCTCAACAGTCACCAGACAGCCAACTCATCTTCTTGGAGGTAGGCTTGACTGAAATTGGATGTTCACATGCCGATGTATTCATACTCTCATCTGAAACATATTTGAGAACTCTTTTGATCTAGCTATTCTCAAATGCCTCCTTGCTGTTAATTGAGCTCACAGCAGGTAGGACAGGGAGTTCTTCATCCAGCCACCCTGCAGGTTAATATTCTTCAGCTGAGTCTTAGTGTTTGCCCTGCATGTGAAGCCAAGAAATCACGTCTTGTTAAAAGAAGAGCCTCATGTTTGCTCTATCAAGAGTTGCCTCTCAGGAACTATGTGGTCCCACTGGTGAGGTTTTTCTGTTCAAATGGGCATGAAAAATTGTACAGGAGCCCCTTCCTCACCTAGCCCCAAATTATCTTTCATGTCTAGCAATAGGTGATTTCTTGCAGAGTCCTGAAAACACCATGTTTGTTCCTCTTTGCCTTTGTCTGTGCTCTTCCATCTGCCTTCACGGCTTCTCCTCTCTTGTCTTCCTGCTAACTCCTGAGCATCCTGTGGGTGCCACCCCGACCCTGCTCCACTGTGGCACCGTCTCTTCCTCTGTTTGGCAGCACTTTACAGGGCCCTCTATTGTCGCACGTGCTCCTCGTTTTGGCTTTGCTTCCCCTCACCTGAGCTCCTGTGCAGCACTTAGGGCAGACATGAAGGCGTGGGAACTGGCGCTCCTCCCTGAATCCTGCTCAGCCCAGTGCTTTGTTCTGTGTCTGTCTGTTGAGTGAGGGAACGAATAATGTTACCAGGCATCCAGATATGGGATAGGAAAGGAGTTAACTGTAGGCCAAGTTTTTAAAAAATTTATCTTTAATTAAGTTCATATGTGCAGAATATAGACTACTCTTACATAAATTAATTCTGATGAATGGCTATGATTGTGACTTGTGGTTTGGTGCAGGGTGATTTTTGAAATCATTAACAACCATACAACATGGGCATCGGGCCTCAGAACAGACTACGGCGGTAGGGGTGGAGTGGGGAGCTGAAGGCCCACTCTCGTGCCAGACTCCATCTCTGCAGATAGTGGATCATGGGGCAGGCCCTAGGGACCATGATGGGGGGCCGGGCAGTGGGAGAGGTTGGAGTGGATGGGCTGGGGTTAGAGTGGGCCCTTGACTTACAAACTTACTTCGTTCTTGAGGGCTCGTTGTAACTCAGGTTGGTCAATTGAAGGCTCAGGCTCCTCTATACAGCCTTCAAAGTCTCTCTCCTGTGTACAGGCAGGTCTCTATGTGTCCTGAGAGAGACACTGGCCCAAGTCTAACAAAGTAAGTCTCAGAGCACTGATATTTTGTGATTCTAACTTACATTTATTATATGATTTTTGACCAAAGTTAGTAGAGCAGTTAAGATGTGCCTTAAACTGTAATAAGGCAATTATTTGAAACAAGATAGCAGCCCTTTGTTTTTTTTTTTTTTTTTTTTTTTTTTTTTTTTTTTTTTTTTTTTTTTTTTTTTTTTTTTTTTTTTTTTTTTTTTTTTTTTTTTTTTTTTTTTTTTTTTTTTTTTTTTTTTTTTTTTTAGGGATATAGCTTCACTAATCAATACATTTAGTTAAATGTTATTTTGAATCATATTTTAGTCATGAAAAAATGTGTTGAACAAAACAAAATGTTAATAAACTTATTGAACAGGGTGAGTATTTTTATATTTAATCTCACCAGTTTTATCATCTCTGCAATTTGGCTTTAGTTTGTGTGCTACACAGTATCTGTACTTACACTTACAAGGTGAAGGCCATTCCATGGGCATTTTGGTAATATATAGGAGACTAATTGCAAATTATGGATAAAGATTTTAAATTGCCATATAAGAATTATAAATTTCTAGTTGTCAATTTAAGAAATCTAACTGTTGCAGACTTCCAGTTTTTATTTTATCCCCCACCACAAAAGGTCATGTTTTTCAGATTGTAGTCCTTTCTTTGTACAAAATGAGGATTTCTTCTTTTATGCTCTGGGCCATTTTGTGTTGATTTAGAATTTATCTTCTGCCCATTTTATAAAAGGCTCCAGGTTCTGATGAGGTCTCCATAGACTCTGGGCAGTCTGTTTTCCTTCTGATCATTGTGTGATCCTGAGAATTAATGCTATGCGATCAGGGAATTGAAGAAAAGGAAGTAAAACACACTGACCATATTTGACTTGCTGAAGCCAGAGATTTATAGCTTGGTTATTGACATGGTTGGGACATTGCTGCTGAATTTTCTGAGTTTTAAAATACATGTCTTTGTTGCAGGGCAGGGACATAGCTACTGAAATAGACACCATCTACTTACCAGGCCACTAAATTGCCCCCCTGATTACCAAGAGTGATCCATTAAGCTTTCTCTGTACATGTCTGCTGCCCCTTCAGATTGTGGCCTGCACATTACATGTGTTTCCTTCAGGTCATTAAGGAAACAATAGCGCAGTACAAAGTAGAAGGTACTTTAGTGTCAGAATGTCAGTTCTGCTATTCGCCAGTCCTCTGACCTTGGACAATCAATTAATCCCTCTGAAAAGCACCTCCCTAATCTGTAAAGCAGGAATTAAGGTGCCTTCTTTCTGAGAGAATTAGAAAAAGTACAAGTGTACTAGTTGAAGTTCTTTGGGGTGCAAGCTACAGAAGCCAGCGTTGAATAAACTGCCTTACAAGGGGGTCTTAACTGGAAACATGCTGGAGGCTTTTGCAGGTACCAGCCACACCTTGGGGAAGGTGAAAAGTGTACCAGCCCCTGGATCTTGACAGCAGAGGTCATGGGCTCTGTCTTTGACATGACTTAGCTCCCATGACTCCCAGATATCTAGTGCCTCTGTCTGAATCTTGGAATTCCTTGGAGACAATGGACTGGTTTAGCATGAGATTGGGCCCTGGCTTACAAAAGACAGACATCTTTCTAGGACTTGGCCCTGTGTTTTGGGGACACCACACTGCAGGGCTTCATTCCACTGTGGAGAGCATAACTGTGGTCACAGGCACAGTAGATATGCAGCAGTGACAGGTCTTCCTTGTGATCAGAGGCCTCTGTCAGGGCTGCTTCTTATTTGGAGGGTCTGGATGGAAGGTGAGGATTGGTGACTCCGATTAAGGCAGGTGCCTCTCACTGCTCCCCTCTGGGCAGCCTGGCCCTCTCCCTCTGTGCCTAGGAGATCTACTGGGTTGTCAGCTCTGCTGAGGGGGCCGAGTGACTTCATTCTAATGGGGCATGATTCAATGCAGAGGAATAGGTGATTGATGAAATGGGACCCAAATGGCTCCGAAGAGTTCATTTATTTAACATTGGATGAGCAATTTGCTTCTAGGAAGACGTTGACTCACTCTGACTTCCATTATGCAAAATATCCATAGGAATTTCTGCTAAGATTCATAGCGTTCCCCATGTCCCTCTTACCTGTTTAACCATCAGTTCTGTAAGCATTTGTGACTGCATTTGATTTGGGACCCTGCTGCTGGCAAGGTGCTCAGGCTGTGAACAGGTGGTTGGCACTTGTGATCTGGGGTGAAGGTGAACCTGGGCTCTCTGGAGGCTGGAGGAGGGCGGGAAGGTTTTCTGGTGGGCTGCCCTGGAGTGTGTCAGTGGGGAGTGGTAAGTGAGGGCACTCGGAATTTGAAGAGAGAGGGAGCGGCCCCTGCCGCTCCTGGGAACCTGTGTGGAGGGATTTCTCAGTGACTCTGGGACGGGAGGGCATGAGAAAAGGCTGAGGACAGGATGAGGAGAGGGTTGGGCTAGTTGCCAGGAAGGAGAGGCGAAGGGAGCTGAGCTGTGTGCCCAGGCCCCCTGACGTGGCTGTGGACTTTCTTCTCTAGGGCTTAGAGCCCAGCCTCCTGAGATTCGGTCACACGTAGGAACCCCGGGGTCAGGATTTCTCACGAGGCTCACGAGCTCCGTGTACTATATTCCTGCAGTCTCTGTACAGTCCACCAGAAATCTACATTTATTGTTTTTTGTTTTCCTACCCCTTGGTGGTTAGCTTTAAGTTACAAGTTCAAACTCTGACTTTATCACCTGTTAGCTGAGTGGTCTCAAACAAGTTACTTCTGCTCCCAGAGAATCAGTTTCATCAACTGAAAAATGGGAACACTAAGATAACCCCCTGCAGTACTGTGGTGCTAGAGACAGTATCTGTAAAGGCCTGAGCATGGCACCTGGAACATAGGACAGCTAGCATTTATCTAATGTTACTCTATACCAGGCATTGTTCTCACAGCTTTGCATAGATTAACTCGTTTAGTCTTAATAATCCCATGAGACACATAGGATTATCACCTTAATTTATAGGTGAAGTTATTGAAGCACTGAGTGGTGGAATAATTTGTTCCAGGTCACACAGTTAACAGGGTCATGTACTCCTAGCCATCACTGCCTCTCGTTATATGCTCAAGAAGCAGTAGGTTGTATTTTTGGTTTTGAGTAGGCTGGCTGTGAACTTGCAGTCCTCTGGCCTCAGCCTTCCAAGTGCTAGGATTGCGTACCTGGCTAAGTAAGGATTTATCTTCTTTGGCTGGCCTTTGTGTGGCTGGCAGTGCAATACTGCTTGTGTCGTCACCCAGTGCTTGGCATTATTGTGGCACAGTGAGGGGAGGACTGAAGAGCTCAGGCCTGTGGCATGTGCCCTGCCTCATGACCCTGACCTCTAGCATGGGGGAGGGGGTGGCACCTCAGTTGTTGTGAAGATCCTGGAGAGCACTTAACATGGTGGCCGACATGCTGAGGACTTGGTCCCATATTGTCTCTTTGTCTTGATGTCCTTTTCGGCTCTGAGCCACTCTTTGGTATGCTCTGGCTGCACAGGTGCTTGTGTCTAGGCAGGAGCTGAGAGAACCCTGCATAGTTTCTGACACAGTTTCTGTGTGTAGAGGCATCTGGGAGCTCCTGTGGCATGGTTCATACTAGGGCCTAACATTTCCAGCAGTCTGGGTGACTCACTTGTCGGGACCAGCTGGGTGGTATAGCGGGAAGGCCCTTTCTGGACCTGGTGCTGCCTGGCTCTGCTTTGTGAGGGCTGGAAGCACAGCAGTATTTTCCTAGGGCTGAGGTCTTAGCCTTTGTTTTTTTCTCTCTGTGTCCCTTTTGCAGCCAACTGTAGCCAAGGATCCCTTTCCCTGAAAAATGCACAAAGTAAGTGTTTGGGATTATGAAGGATACCAAACATTTTGAAATTTAGTTTTCAAAATATAAAAAAAAAATGCTATAAAATACGTGACTGTAGTGACCATTATAGCTCTGAAGTAGTAGTGATAAGAAGAAATATTTTGTAGTATCTGTGTTATGTATAAAATAATCGTATTTCTTTTAATGAGTAAGTCTCCAGGATAACACTTGTACTACCATGGTTTATAGCAGTTCCAATATTCCTTCAGCTCATAATTGAGAGGTATGCTAAATTTCAGCTAGAGGTTAATGGAAATAAAGATATAACATTTTCTTCTGTTCACATTCTTGGAGCCTCTAGATTTTAGTTAGGTCAAGAACCCCTGGCCAAGCTGGTATCTTGATGTGAACTACAGAGGCTGTTCGTAGTCCCGTCTGTCTCTTTACATGTCTGCTGCCCCTTCAGATTGTGGCCTGCACATTACATGTGTTTCCTTCAGGTCATTAAGGAAACGATGGCGCAGTATAAAGTAGAAGGTGCTTTAGTGTCAGAATGTCAGTTCTGCTATTTGCCAGCCCTCTGACCTTAGACAAGTCAATCTCTCTGAAAAGAGTCTTCTCCAGCATCTGGACAGCACATCATTCATGCTGGGCACTGTGCTAGGTGCTCTGTGTACATTAACTTCAGTATTTATTGTGTACATTGAAATAATTTGAAATTTGTAGGAAAGTTATAAGAATAAAGGATTTTGTGTTTTCTGAGTCACCTGAAAGAAAGTTCCAACTGAATTCCTGTCCTATATGATTACTTTAGGGTCTAGTTCCCCTTTGAATAGGGACTCTCAGCTCAGCCTCCATAGCCAAGAAATTAGCCCAGACTGAGGATTCCCTTCTAATCTTCAGACCCACTTGTAGTTAATCCATTGTCTGAGTAATGCTCTTCACAGTACAAGAATTGGTCCAGGATCACACCTCACTTTTTCTGGTCTTGATTCTTTATTCTGTGGACTGAGACTGTTCCTCAGTTTTTCCTTGACAGTTGTCACCTTGAAACCTTTGAAGTGTCCAGGCCAGTGTATGTCGGTGGATGCCCTTCAGTTTGGGGGTTTCTGATCTCTTCTTGTAGTGAGATCCAGGCTCTACCTCTACTGTGTTCTCATTGTGTCTGGTCCAGTGGCGCAGGATTTCAGCTTATCCCATTGCCATACTAGCCATCCTGACTTTGTAAAGTGTATCAAGGCAGTGTCTGCCAGGAGTTTTGACTGTCCCTTTACTCTTTTTTTTCTCCTTTGTATTAAATAAATATCTTGTGGGAAGTGTTTTGAGTCTGTATAAATTCCGATCTTCAAGCTTTTACCTACTAGTTTTATCATCTTTTTATGTTTCTTAGCTGAATTATTTATTGCCATGATGGTTGCCAAATGGTGATGCTTCTAATTCCATCTTTCATTCTGCATTTATTAATTATCATTATACTGTAAAGAAAAGCCGATTCTTTTCATTTATTTGTATCAGTATGGGTTCATGAATTTCTGTTTTATTCAGTAGGTTATAATCTATCATTATTACTGTTTTGATGCTCAAATTGTCCCAGATTTGGCTGGTGGGAGCCTTTTCAGATCGGCTTCTGTGTCATTTTGACAACATTCAGCATTTCTTTCTTTTTTTTTGTTTTATTTTGATTTTTGAGACAGGGTCTTCCTGTGTATTTCAGGCTGGTCTTGAACTCGTGGCAATCCTTCTGCCTCAGCCTCCCAAGTGCTGGGATTACAGGTGTGTGCTATCACACCCAGCTCATTTCTTTTTCTTTTTCTTTTTTTTAAATTTGTGGCTTTATTGAAGTATAATTGACAAAAATTTTATATTTTTAAGGCATACAATGTGATATTTTGATATATGTATACTATGTGAAATGATTACCATAATAAAGCTAATTACTATATCTATCACTGCACATTAGTACTAGTTTTGGGGCACCTTTAAGATCTACCCTCTTAGCAGATTTCAAGTGTGTAATACAGTATTGTTCACTATAATCACTGTATTATACATTGTATCTCCAGAACTTACTCATCCTTCATAACTGGAACCTTGTATCTGAAAAATAACTCCCTCTTTTCCGCTTGCCCCATCCTCTGGCAACCAATAGTGGCCTTTTTAAGCATTTTATGTTCTAGCATAACAGAGTGCTGGAAACATATCTTCTGCTGCCCTTGATTTCCCTTGTTCCAATATTGGAATTGGTCCAGGTATTCTTGTTCCGTTACAGTACACAGTTTATCTTTTATCTGCTCCATAACTCTGTCTCTGGGAGTTTGTTCTTCACCATTTTATAGTTAGAAATGCTAAGGCTCCTGGTAAGTAATTTTGCCAAACTAGTAAGTGGCAGGGCCAAATTTAACCTTAAAAAAATTCACAATTGGAAATGCTCACAAGCTATTTCCCCATTTCATAAAAATGGGGACTAAACCTAATGCAGGAGTAGTTAGCTGTTTACCCAAGGCTGTACAGCTATCTTTTTTCTCTTCTGGGTGCCTTCCAACTGCCACTCACTTGACTTTTACTCTACTTTAACATGTTCAGCACAGGGCCGTAATTCATAGGCCTTATTGCTGGGCGGCTTGAACCATTGGTGGTACACATGAGACTGTCTCATTGGGAGGCTTGTAGCTGTGGTGGTACAAATGGATGCAATCACTTTTATCAGTCTTTCTACTAACAAAATTAATAAAAAGCTGCTGGGTAGGACAAATCATGCGTGTACCACCGGTGGTTCAAGCTGGCAGGAACATGTTACATTTCTTGAATCTAGGTCTTGTTAGGTTTAGGTTTATGCATTTTCCTCCTTTGGAGCAAGAGCAAGTGTGGCAAGACATTTTCTTTGTGGTGTTGTGAAAATAATGATCAGTAGCTCTGAGGCCTGATAGTTTCACTTTGGGCAAATAAGATGTCTGTGATTCATAACAGCCATTGGGTGTTGGAAGCACAGCTCTCTCACCTTTCTGCTGGGTAAATGTATTATCCTCATACTACTGTAATAAAACATTTGATGTAACTACCTTCTAAAGAGAAAAGATTCATTTTGGCTCACAGTTTTGGACATTTCAGTTCAAGATTGGTCAGACCTATTCATTTGGGCCTCTGCTAGGGGCACCGGAAGCAATGGCCTGGAGTAAGTAGTGGAGCAAACTGCTCACCTCATGGCCAGGGAGCAAAAAAGAAATAGCAGGGGGCCCCACCTCGAGGGCAAGCTCCTCATGACCTAAGGGCCTCCCACTAGACCCTGGTTCTCAGAGTTTCTACTGCCTCCCAGTGGTTCCAGCCTGGGGACCACGCTCCTAACTCATGGCCTTTGGGGACTTTCCAGATGCACACACTAGCAGGCAGCAGCAGGTGGGCATTCCTCACTCCTCCTGCAGGTGGTGCTGTTTGACTGTGGTCTGAGCGGGAGCCTGGAATGGCCTCACCTCTCTGTGGTTTTAAAAACCAGAACTAGCCACATATGTTTGCATAATGTAGAGCTGCACTCTTAAGATTCTTCCCCAATGCCAGATGCCTTTGTTATTTTCAGGAAAAGCAACAATTAGACTATGAAGAGCTAATGCAGGTCTTAAAGAAGGAGCGGGACATCTATACCCACCTGGTGAAGTCTCTGCAGAACTCAGACAGGTAAGGGTTTCTGTTTGAACATCACGTAAGCACTGGTGGCCTCCGAGCCAACAGAGACAGTCCTGCCAGTTTGCTTAGGAAGTTTACAAAGTGCTTGGATGGTGATGGCCTTGCTTAACAATCAGGTATTCCTGGTTTCTGTCAAGAATCGCCTCATTTTGGCAACAACATCAGGATAGAATATAATGCTCAGATTTTAAAATACTTTATTATATACTTAGAGATGCTTCCATGTGTAGTTACCTCTAATGATCATCACAGCTGTTCTGTGAGGTAAGTAATGGACCTCTTTTACACGAGTCCATGAAGCCTAAGGAAGGTTGAGTGACCACAGTCACACTGATGTTGCCAGAACTCCAGGGCCCCAGAAGACTTCTGGGCCTCGGAATGACCTACTCTGCAGAATGACCGAGATGATTTGGTGCCCTGAGGTGTGGTGAGGAGAGTGAGTTACAGTTACAGGCCAGCGGTCTTGTTCTGGTCCTGGCTTTCCCACTCACTAGCTCTGTGTTCCCAGGCAACTGGCCTGCTCCAGGCTTCTGTCTGCACATCTGTAAATGCAGGATTGACTTCAGGAATTTTTCACATAAAAATAACATTCCTCTTCACACTGGGATAGGTGCAGTTGAAAGGATATGATATCTGGGATTTGTTTCAAAGCAGCCTGGAAGCTGAGGAAGCGTTGGAGATAGCAAAGGAACAAGATTGGCCCTGGCTCCCTGGATTGCTGGCTGGGTTGTGGGTAGATGGGGGCAGGGCTCATCACATTACTTCATCTTTTTTTTAATATGTCCAGGATATTCTATCATAAGTGAACCCACACCGCCCTCCCTTTTCCTTTGTGTATACCCTTTGCAAGCTCTTCATGTTCCTTGGACTGTGTGCCTCTTCCTCTGCCCTTACCTGTGTTTTTTCCCTGCTCCTTCCCGGCCCACCCCCCGCTTTGTCTCCCATTGCTCCTTCAAAATTCTCCTGTGTTTCACTCTTATGAGTAGGCTCAGCTGGCCCCCAGCTCATTGCCCTTCTGTGTTTCTTCCTCCTCACCCCCTGCCCCTCCTGTGGTTACCTCTGGCTGCTCTGCCTGCTCACCTCCTCCAGGAGGTCCCAGGGTCATGGGGAGCCTCTGCTGGTTGTGTTGTCCAGGGCCCTAGGGAGATGCTTCATGTAGAATGCCCCTCCCGTGGCTCAGTCCTCTAAGCTACGTGATAATTTCTAGATTTTAAAATCTGAAATGAATTTAGAGGAAATGAAAACATGTTGATGAAATTCTGGGTGTGGGCCTCTCTCTCTGAAAGTGAGCTTTATAAAAAAGCCTCAGATGCTGGCCACTTTCACTGGAGGAGGAGGGGCTGAGGCACGGCAAGCTCCAAGAGGCCCTGCACTAATTTCACTCTAGTTGTGTAGCTTCTCTGGGAGGGAGCCAGGGTAGATTCTAGGTGCTGAGAGGTGCTGTGGGAGGTGACTCTCAAGCCCTCTCAGCTTTGTGATTGGCTCTGAGTCTCACAGGTTCTTTCCTAATGAATAAAAATAAGGATAAGGTGGGTCAGAAGCAGGTCAGAGCAGTGACCAACCAGGGTACTTACAAGGTTTCCTGTTTGCCTTTAGACTTAGAGAACATTTAGGGAAAGGTGGTCTGGGTCCCCATCCCAGCTCCGTCACACAGCAGTTCTGAGCTCTTGTGCAAGTTATTTCTCATGCTGAGCCTCAGCGTGTGGGTTTGTAGAGTGCAGATCAGCTGGTCTGCCTACTTACCTACCCACTCTCTACCTACCCACCAATTTACCTACTTATCATCCAACTTATCTACCTACCTACTCACCTGCCTACCAATTAACCTACGTACCTACTAACTTACCTAGGTACCTATCAAGTTATCTACCTGCCAGTTTACTTGCCTATTGTCCCACTTACCTACCCACTCACCTGCCTATCTCCCTACCTTACAGGGTTGTTTGGATATAAGAGATGATATTGTGTGAATTCCTAGCACTGCCTGGCACAGAGTAAGCACTCAGTTAATAATAGCACTTATTAAACTTGACAACATGAAATGCTCCTGCATGCCTTACTGTGCCAGCATGCATGAGCTTAGCTCCGGGCTCTTGGATCCTTGGACCCTGACATGTCCAGGGGGCAGAACTGTGGGCAGGGGCAGGTGGTGCTCTGATTTGTGACTCCAGCAGTGCAGAAACTGGCAATAAAGGAGGGTGACTGGAGGCACAGAACATATTTATGATTAAAATGGGAACGAGAAGAGGGAAGCGTGTGCAACTGTGAGCCTGATCCTTTCACCTTTTCCTTTTATTCTCCACGGGAGCACTTGGAAATCTGCAGCCTTATTATGCATTGTGTCCCTGACATGTTAAGGGAACAATGAGAGTTGCATCTGTGTGGCCTCAGAGCCTAGGGCCTTACTGGTAGCCTCCCTGTAACCCAGGCTTACTCAGCCTCAGCAGTACTGTGATTAGGGATGGATGTTTTTTTGTGTGTGTGTCACAAAGGTCTGTCCTGTGCATCAAAGGGTACTTAGCAGTATCCTTGTCTCTATCCAGTACCAGTAGCACACTCACCTCCTCCTACCACAGTTGTGACAACTAAGAATGTCTCCAGATCTTGACATGTTCCTTGGGGGGGGGCAGCAGTGTCTCCAGATGAAATTTACGGTTGTAATTTGTGAGAATCAGAAATTTTGGCTTAGATCTCTTTTGTTTGGGAGTCGTTGGGGTATGTGAAAGGAAAGAAATGATGTTTGTTGAGCATCTACTGTAATTAGGCACTGTGTCAGGTGCTCTCTCATGTCATTTCACATTTAGTCCTCCACAGTCTTGAAGGGTGGGTGGCATTATCCTTATTTTACAGATGAGACTGTTTATCTGGCTGGCCAGGGTCAGGGAGCTGCTTGGTCACAGAGTGTCATTATGAGCTTGGCTCTCTGTGTCTCCTCATTTTTGCTACCCCCAGCCCCTGCCTCCAGTCCAGAAAGCATACACAGGGCTTTCATTTCTTTCTGCATGAAGCACCTTTTGTTCCACCAATTCCTCACATCTTTATACGATTCTGGAGTTGAGAAAACATAAATGACAGACACAGGAGCAGCAGCTGTGTCCTTTTCACCCTGTCAGAAATGGAGGAGGGAGCATGGCAGTTAGCTTTCCCCAGCCCTAATCGCAGGAGCTTCACTAAAACAATCTCCTTTTTTCCCTGGTTAAATGTCTCGGCAGCACAACCACATCCAAGCTGTGCTGTGCTGTGACACCTCGGGAAGGTTTCCCATCAGCCGTACAAATTGATCATTATGATTGTCTTGAAATGGAACTAGGTACAAGTTGCTGGTGGGCCCCTTCCCTTACATGAAGGTTGCTTCACAGTGCACCATCCTCAAAGCAGCATGCACAGAAGATTAGACCTAATGGTTTATTTTCCTTCCATGATATGTTGATTTATGTGTACAGTTTGATTCATGGAGCTGGAAAAAAAAATCTCTGAAGGAAAAATAGGGTTTGAGTACCTGGCACATGTATTCAGAGCAGTGGCTCCTAGCCAGTTGGGCCTCGACACCCCTTTGAGAAAATCTGATAAAAGCTTTGGGCCCTCGCCTTAGGAAAATCCTTATAATTAGTAAATGTTTACAGATAGTTTCAAAGCGTTGATGAACCCTCTCAGGGAACCATAGGTCAAACCACTGGACAAAAAGTGATATATTCTGTGTTTAGAAGAGGAGGCTTTCTGATTTGTTAAGGTGTTTTAGTAGCTTTAAAAATGTTCATATGCTTTGACTCACTAATTTCACTGCTGGGAATCCTTTTTAAGGAAATAACTTAATGTCAAACCACGCCATGGATCTGCATTGTCCAGTAGAATAATCAGTAAATGTGTAGTTATTTAAGATTAAGCTTACCCTAAAATTCATAAATGAAACAGCTCCTTGGTACACGAAGCCACATTTCAAATGTTTGGGAGGCACATTTCCTAGTGGCTACTGTATGAGTCAGTGCAGGTATAGGATATTTCCATGACTGAAGAAAGTACTGTCAGATGGGCTTTCTCAGGATTCATTGAGAGTCTGGGAGGTGTGCATGTTCATAGCCTCACCTGGGTTCTGGGCTTCTGATTCCGTGCAAGCTCTCCACACAGCTCAGCAGTGTAGCACATTGATCTGATGTGAAACTTGACCATCTCCCTCCCCAGCCAAGAAGAAATATCCATTTATACTGTGCATATTTGGGGTGGCTAACCCACTGCAGTGGAGTTCTTTTGGCCCTTAAATTGGTCCTTTTCTCTTTTAGCATTAGCTCACTCTTCTTCCTTGGTTTTTATTTCCTTCCTTCCAGTATGATAGGAACCCAACAGAAATCCTCTGTTTTTCTCTTCTGAAGTCCGAGGGCCAGGTCCAGAGCCCCCACCTCTACACCCATACTTCTCATGGCATTATTCCAAACAGAGGCACATCCTGGAGAATTAGATTATTTACAAATAGTTACATCTAGCAAGAACTCAGAAATGACCCACATGTCCACCAATAGGGAAGGTGTTATTGCAACTGATGGGATATTCACCTGATTTAATATTATATAGATATTAAAAATGATGAAGTATGGGCTGGGGATTTAGCTCAGTGGCACCATGCCTGCCTCACAAGCACAAGGTTCTGAGTTTGATCCCCGGGTACCAAAAAAAAAAAAAAAATCAAAATGATGTAGTAAATAATTTCAAGACATGTAGAGTAGTATTTAAGGATACACAGTTCAGCATTGTATACCCAGTGTTATTTCTGCCTTGTGACCGTGCTCGGAGAGAAAAACATTAGGGGGAAATGTGGTCTGTGATGTGTTAATTGGGAATGGGATCATTCTTGTTTTCTTTATACATATAGAAATAAGTTTTGTTTTCTTTGTACTTTTAAAATTTTTCTGCAATAAGCACGCATTTACTTTTGTAACTAGCAAAACACAAATGACATAGAAATCAGAAAGGCTTGCTATGCTAGACTTTGCATCTTAAAGCACAAATAGGTCTTTTGACATTGTCTGGTGTCTTGTTTCACCAAGCATCGACAACCTGCAGGCTGAGTTAAACGCCATTTTTGCCCTGAGGAAGCAACTGGAGCAGGATGTGCTCTCCTGTCGGAATTTGCAAAAGATCCTGGAGGAGCAGATCAGCGAAATCCGGAGGCGGGAAGGTACACATTGTCTTCTGTGTATACTTCTATTTGGTTCTTCCATTTGGAGGACTTTGGCTGAACTTTTAGGAGTCCCAGAACTTCATGAGGAGTTGAAGCAGCCACAGAGTTTCACATGGGGATCCGTTTTTGTGGTGGCCCTGTTGATGTGGCTATGTCCAGTCCATCTGGTTGGCTTCTGCCTTCCTAAGATGGGTCCAGTAAATTATATTTATTCTGCAGAGGATCTGTTGCAGGCTTGCTTCTGGGCTGCTTCTACTGTTTTCCATATCATTTGCTGTCCTAGCTCCAGGTAACCTTGAGGACTTGCCATTCTCATTGTATGGTCAACACCTCTCATTGACTGGGCCCTGCTTACCTCTGCATCTTGCAGCAAGCCCAAGAGCACAGGCATTGGGTAGAGCTTACTACTTCCTGTTGAAACTGTTTCCTGTTGAAATGGCACTTTTAGTGTTGCAGACTCATTTACGATGGGCTACAGGATGAACATTTTGTGGAACTCACACTGCTGGGCTCTCCATGGTGTGTCTTGCCCTCTCTCTTGCCAGACCCAGATACACCTATGGTGTGGGTTGGTATTTCATTCCTTTCTAATCTCTAGCTTGGGGCCTGGGACATGTGGTAAAATCTGGTAATAGTGGTGGGGTTGACATTTCTTGGGTGCCTTCTGTATGTCTGTGGCTCTTCCATTCTCAGCACTGATTCCTGCAGTCAATTCACTGGGCAGAGCACATATTAATTTTATTTTAAAGATGGAGAAGCTGAGCTGAAGGAGCAAGGGTGAATTGATTTGTTCACATTTGAGCCCAGGTGTGCCCCTTTGAGGTCTAGCTCTCTCTATTTTCCTGCACTGTATTATAGGTGCAGTGGGACTTAAGCATGTGTCTTAAATGTGATACTTTTGGGAAAATGCCCCACTCAATAAATGTCCCCCCCTCCTCTGCCCCCCCCCCCCCGCTTTTAGAATGTGCCATGTGCTGCGGAGGAGGCAGATGCTGACGTGTAGGTCACCGTGACTCTTGTCTTGGCTGTAGCAGGCACTTTTTGCACTTGGTGTACTCACTTCCCATGAAGGCTCTGAGGCCAGTGAAATTACATTAGGCAATTTTATTTCCCTTGAGTTCTACCCCCAGGGTCACATGTAATTTTCCTGTATTCTCACCTAAACAGAACCACTCACTCATTTAAACTGAAATCACCATTTGCTTGTGCCATTCAGAACCTTCTTCAGGCACAGCACTTGATATGCAAATTGTAATTCAGCCCTGGCCCCAGTGAAAACCTACAGCCCAAGATGAAACTCTACATTGAGATATCAGCCTGGAGAACAAGGAAAATTACTTTTGCTCCAGAGGTGGTGCTTTAAACCCCCAGTGTGTGCTTCTGTTCCCCTCTTCCCCTCCCTGTTCAAATTGCTGTAGATGAATTGCACTGGGGAGCCATCTTGGAAGGATCTGTTTCTGATACTCTTTTTCTCCTCCCCCTCCCCACCTTTTTTTACTTTATTTTATTTTATTTTGGGCAGAAGAACCATTTTCATTTTATAGTGATCAAACATCTTATCTAAGTATTTGCTTTGAAGAGCACAGTCGGTTTCAAGTGGAGCATTTTTCTCAAGAAGAACTTAAGAAAAAGGTATTGAGCTCTTAACTTTTAGTGCTTTTATTTGTTTATTTGTTGCCTCTTGGGTTCCTGATCACGGGGATGTGAGACTCAGAAAGTCCCTTTCCTCTCCTGTCTTCCCCTCTGCTGTTCTCTGCTCCTCGTGGCACACTGCTCAGGCTGAGGACCTCACCCAGGTCTGCACCCCTGGAAGAGAAGGTCCCAGACCCCTTCAGGAGCAGCAAACACCTCCCCTGAGGCCTCTCCCATCTCCTCTCTGTGGGTTCCTCACTGATGTCCTTCTTAGACTGATCTGGGATTATTTGGTTCTTTGTCATTTGGGTAAGGGTGTGAACATCTCATGGCTTACTCATTTCTGATGTCCCAGTACCTCGCACACATTGTAGGAATTAATAAAAGGTTTTGCATGATTATAGCCCCAAGTGTGATCAGTACATCTTTTTCGTAAATTGCAAAAGCTTTTCATTCTGTCCGTTCGTGGTGTGCTTAATGTTTTATAGTGTTTTGAGGATCTAAGAACCAGGACATGTGAGCACCAGGTCTGTGTGGCTTATTATAAAATTACCTTAGATGCAGGATTGAGATTTACTTTCATGGAATTATTCATATCCTGGCAGAGAAAACAGACATGCAGACAAACAGTTAGGTTGATGTGAGAGGCAGCTGTACAAGTACCAGGGGTAGCAGAAGAGAGGTTATAGTAATTGCCCATTACTTGATCAGGGGAAGCATCTGAAGAGAAGTGAGCTTTGAAGTAGGTTTTGAAGGATGAATAGGAGTTTGTCCAGGTGGTGGGTTTTCTCAGCAGAGAGAGAGAAAGAAGCTCTGTAAGGCTCAGAAGATGTAACAAGGAGATCTGTAAAAATTGGGGTATTTTTTGAAGAGTAGGTCAAAGAGCCTTGAGGCAGCTGTTAGCTTTTGATGAGGAAGAAAATGAAAACAATCCCAGCAGCTGGCTAGTATCTAGTATGGCCCTGGTCAGGGCAGCAGGCAGTTTGCTTGGTTGGAACTTAGTAAGGTCTTGTTCTACCCATCATATCCTCCTTGTGGATTGGCTTGATTTTATTCATGTTTTGATGTATTGGACATCTACCATGTGTAGTCAAGGTGGGATTTTCCACTCTTATTTCAAGGGTTTATTATTATCCCTCTTCGGTATTTGAAAAATTACTGGAAGCTTACAAGGAGTTTCCAGGGAAATGGGGGAGCTGAGTCACTTGCCTACATACCTGGTCCAGCAAAATTTATGGCTGGAGGAGGAGCCCTGGACTGAGAGCCCAGGGATTTTGAGTCTGGGCCTGGCTCTGCCTCTGAGGCAGCAGCTGCTCTTTCCCTCGGGGTCTGACACTTTAGGACATTGTTTTTATCTTGTTCTCCAGACAGCCTGGTTATGGGGTCCTGGACAGTTAGCTTCTTAGTATCTCTGGTTCCTTGTAAAACAGGGATTAGGCTGACCACCTCCTCAAGATTTTTGCAGGGAATGATTGACTAAAGCTTGCAGGAAGGAGTATTTAGGTGTACATCGCTGTGTAATAGACAGCTGTTTTTGTTACTGACATTGCTGGGTAGGTGTATAAGAAAGAAAGTCTATGCCATAAAATCAGGTCTGATGCAGTTGCAGAAACCTCAGCCATGGGGGACCCTTCCTCCCGCGGGTCTCCATAGAAGGCAGAAGTGATGTTAGCTGTTGTTGACTGAGCACTGAAACTGTGTGGAGGACATTAGATCACAGGGAAGCTCTCACAGTAGCCGTCCTACAGGTGAGGAAACAGAGGCTCTCATTGGGCAGCTTGCCTAGGATCTCTTTACCTTAAAGTGGTGGCTCTGTCCCCTGCTCTTATCTCCCAGGTCAGTGACCTCATAAAGCTTGTGAAGGAACTGTACACAGACAACCAGCACTTGAGGAAAACCATTTTTGATCTTTCCTGCATGAGTTTTCAGGGAAATGGGGGAGCTGAGTCAACAGAACAAAGAGAGGTAAGAAACATTTCTGTTGTCATGTGCTAATTGCAAAAATATAACCCCCCAAGAGATTACATGGGACTGCATCTGCCTTGGGGAGGTCTCTAACTGAAATTCCCTTTATTGGATGGGCCTTTGAAGGCCCTATTAGCTCAGCTGGTCTGTCCTCTGGCTTCCACTGTTTTGGGTCATTTCTGCACAGACACGTTCTTTACATTGTGATGCTTTTGACTGTGGTCCGGCTCTGGAGCTCCACTGCAGATGGTACATCTGAGTGATCAGTGCGGTCTCCGAGGGATCTGGAGAATTGCCAAATCACCCAGATAATTTGTGTGGTGTAGCTGCAGCCTTAATGAATCTTGTTAACATTGAAAAACAGATGTCCAGTGCCCTACCTGGGGGCTCATCCTCATGACTCCTGGGTCTCAAGCGCTGATCTTGGTGATGTGTTGTCTCAGATTTTCTCTCTTCTCAACCTGTGCTGCCTGGTGGAGGACCCTGCAGCTGTGACAGTGGTGAGGATCACTTTTTTTCCTCACTTTAGACCCTCACTTGCCTGGCTCACCCCTAAGAAGAACCTTGTCCCGTGCATTAGTACCATTTTGGGAGACTGGAATGCCTTGCACCTGGGGGCAGAAGGCTTGTTTTGTTTTTGGGTTGCTCATGAACAAAACCGGAATCTTCTTGCTTGGGGTTTTCTGGAGCTCAGCCTGGAGAGCTAGGTAAATTCAGGTCTCACGTTCATCGCCACATCATTTCTTGGAAAAGATTTGTCAGCCTTAAGCTGTCTCCTCCCACCTTCAGAGAAGGAACTGCTCAAAGGTATTTATGCGGTGCTCTGGCCATCTGCTGTCTTTGAGACAGGGAATATTATTGATCTTAGCCTCCAGGGCTCCAGATAATTTTGAAAACCAAGAGTAACTGCAAGACATTTAGGGAGAAACAAGTCTCCTGGTTTGCTTCCTCTAAGGCAGTATTTTTAATAAGCAGCTTGTTCTTCACTGACTCCATTTGAGTCGTAAATGGTGAGTTTTGTTTGTTCATTTGCCCTTTGAAGAAAATCTGTTAAATGTCCCATTATGTCATTTGGAGAACAGAGGCTTTTTCCTCTGCCCACTCTAAGATCTTAATATCAGCCGATTCAGATTTGAGTCATTTGTCAGATTGCACTTCAATTTGATGTTCCCTGTGAACAGCCTTGTCCTTTATAGCACGGCTCCCCATTTTCCCCCAGAATGGGATGGGGAGATCTGCATAGGCAAAGATGATGTGCCCGTTGTAATCCGGAGCTGAGGGAGGGAGGGTATCAGGGTGAGGTGGGACGGCAGAGAGGGGAGTCTGCTGTTCCCCAGAAGGGTGTGTGGGTCGCCTTTGAAATAAACCAAAAATGCTTTTGTTGTCCACAGCATTTTCTGAGCAGCAGGACTTGCACAGTGAAGGCTGAGCATGATTTCTGCTCACTAGGAGCATATAAATCAAAGGGAGGGGCACAGACATTATCAATGAGAATATATTTTGTGTTTTTAAATTTCATAACATAGAAACGGCCTCTGGTTCTGTCAGTTTAAAACAGGCACAGTTGTAGGGGCACATGCTGATAATCCCAGCATTTGGGAGGCTGAGGTTGGAGAACCAGCCTGGGCTACATAGTGAGTACAAAGCCAGCCTGAGCTCCACAGTGAGACCCTGTCTCCAAACAAGCAAACAAACAGCAATTAATTAGCGTCTTGGAATTGGTCCTTCGTATTTGTGTGCATGCATGCACACACACACACACACACACACACAAACATCATAATACAGTTTTTACCTGTTTTTGTGCCTGAGCTCCACAGTGAGACCCTGTCTCCAAACAAGCAAACAAACAGCAATTAATTAGCGTCTTGGAATTGGTCCTTCGTATTTGTGTGCATGCATGCACACACACACACACACACACACACAAACATCATAATACAGTTTTTAATCCTGTTTTTGCCAATTGCTATTAAGTTATAGCATCTTCTGCCATTTTCTGAACGCATTGGAATTTAACAGTCTCACCCTTGTTGGACATTGTTTCAAGTGATTCACTGTTGTAAAATATGTACTTGAAGTCTCTGTACACAAATCTTTTACTGTGTGTAGGATTTTTTTCTTAGATTATAATTCCCAGATATATAATACTAGGTCAAAGGATAGATAGAGATATGTAACAAGCATAGAATTTCTTTTCACACACCCACCCCAACAACTGTCAATTTGCAAAAGGGTACAAGTTATGGGGGCTGTGGCAGAGTTTGTCAGGTTTCTCTTCAAAATGGCCCTCCAGGTGGAGAAGCTTACCAGCTGGGAGCCATGATGCTCACTCCCTCTTTGCTGGCTCCACCAAACATGTTTCCATGCGCATTTGAAAACCTCTTATCTGATGGCCCCCATTTTCTTATATGTGCATGTATATATGCGTTTAGTCAGGATGGAACCCAGGAACTTCCCACTGAGTTACATCTTGAGCAGGCCCCTTGCACATTCATCATGAACTATACAGAATGAGGCTGTACATGAGTTAACTTCCGAAGCATCAAATTTGTACACACATTAAAAAAACTCAAAATTGTCATCTATGCATCACAAGTTGCTAGACCACAGTTTTAAAAATGGGATAAAAATTTCTCTTCTCACTTCTTTTCAAAAGGATTAATATTTTTAAAGCATATATGCTACTTTCCATTAGCAAGACTTATGAAGGGATCAAGCAGCCCAGCATCCCTTGAGCCCCCAGAGGCCATGAGCCAGGAAAGGCCCAGCCCGGGGACAGTGGCCAGGGCTGGGGCAGGAGCTGGCCCACAGTGCAGAGCAGAATGCTAAAATGCAAAAGGAAGACACCTTTGGCTAAAACTTTGGCATTAAATAAAAGAGATAGGCTCTTAAGCGAAATAAATAGGACACACATGTCAATACGGAATAGTTTCTCTGGTGTGAGAAACTGAGAGTATAAATGAGGACCAAAATGTATAATAGATGGTGTGAAATAGAAAGAAAAGGTCCAAAAGAAAAGGGGAAGTGTGTGGTGGTGGGAGGGAAAGAAAAATTGTGAGAAAAGAAGGAAAAACTGGAAACAAAATTTTTGTAAACCGGAACGGACGGAGGGGTGGGAGGGAGGGAAGGGGGATGGGGAAAACACAAGAACCAAGACACATCCTGTACAGGTAGGTACAGATTCTCAGTGATGACTGTGATCACAATGAATACCTAAAATGTACCAATAAACTTAATGAATTAAAAAAATAATAAGACAAATCAGAGTAGGAGTGATTGCAGCAGGGTACAGTCAAGGTGCTGAACATTGAAAACCGTGAGCCATACAACACATGGACCCGTCGGTAGGTGCCCAGGATACATGTGCTACAAAGCACCAGTACTGACGTCTTGCAAGTGCTCAACAAGGGGCAGTTACTATTTGGATCATTGTGTTGTCGTTCTCAGGTATGGTTAGGAAACTTTTTTTTGGCATGGAGAGAAAGCATGGATAGATGAGCATAATTTAATTGAGCTCAGCTATTTGTAGGGCTGTCATGTTGAACAAGAAGTAGACCTTGTGTGACTCTAAAGGATGGAAATGGTACTCAGAAGTAGAAAGTGCTTATTAAATGTTCTACTAAGAGTAACAGGATGATATTTGGTTTGTCAGAGTAGATTTAATTTCATTAAAAGGAGGAATAGTCTAACAATTCAGCTTTGGAGGTTCTTATGAGTTTCACTTGACTCATAAAGGCCTTGGCACAGTGCCTGCCAGGTAGTAGGCACTCAATAAAACAGTTCTTTCCATTTTATTTTTTTAGTGAGTTAGTGGTGGAGTCGGAATCGTAACCCTTTTCTGGCTCTGTTCAGAGCTGTCCTAACAGCACCATGGGCAGTGCTTCTAAACTTTAACAGGTGTGTGGCTTTCCTGGGGAACTTGTTAAAATGCAGGTTCTGCTTCCCTAAGTCTGTATTTCTGAGAAGCTTCTGGGTGATAATCCTTCTGTTGCTCTGAGGAACACATTCTCAGTAGCAAGAGCCAAGGTAATCCTGAAAACCACTTGGTTCTAGTTTTCATTTTGAAAAAGTCTTCATTCATTCATTTGTTCCTTCAGCAGTGTTTTATTGAGCACCAGGCATTGATGTTAAAGCTATGAAGGAAGACATAATCCCCGCCTGGTCTAGCATGTAACAGAGAGAAACGGTAAGTTGCAGGAAGAGTGTTGCTGGAGGTTTGTGGAGTCCTAAGGAGCCCAGAGGCAAGTGTCCAGCCCCGCCTTCCAGGGAGGAGGAAGGGAAGGAAAGAAGTAGGGGGTGACCCAGGGGAGAGTGGAGTCACCAGTGGTGCTTTGAGGAGGGTGTGTTAAGCAGTGTCAGATTCTCTGCGAAGGCAGGAAAGAAAAACATCCCCCATTGCACGACCTGGCATTTTCTTGAGAGTGAGAGGACAGAGCCAGCTTGCAGTGGCTGGAGGACAGAAGAGGAGCAGGGAGGTGGATCTAGAGCTGGTTGACACTGGGAGCTGTAGGGGTCCTCTCTCTGGCTGGAGGCAGGGAAGAAGTACAGCCCAGGTGCAATGACTCAGAGTTTGTTCTGACATCTTGTTCTTTGTCTTTGAAAACTGCTAAGTCACATTGACAATAAGGAATTTCTCTGTGTCCACCACATTTAATTTCGTGGTAATTGCTGGAAACTGAGAGTTTACTTTTAATTTAACCAAGTCAGCAGAGGTAGAGAGACATGCAGGTTACTGTGTCTTGAGGCTGGGATGGTTGTGATCCTGGAAAGGCAGAATAACTGAGTTGCTTTTGATATTTTAACTTGCAATAGTGCGTATTAATGATAATTTGCTCAGCTACATGTAGGTGAACTCTTTTGCCGTCCATAGGAAGCACAAAGGGGCTTCTCCATTCCTCTTCTCTGACCCCATTGGGATTTTACTCCTGTGCCAAAGGTCTTTGGGGACCTGGCATGAGCAGTTTCTGGATAACGGTGGCAGGAAAAGCCTCATTGCAGAATGTGAGAAGTGGCCCTTTTCCAGAAGCTGAGAGAGTGTTTAGTGACCCCAGTCCATCATCATTCCATCTTAACTTTTTAAAAAAGTAACTTTATTTTTAGCTGATTTATGAAATCATAAAATTATAAATATCAGGGGGGTACCCTGTGATGTTTTCGGTACATGTGTACATTATGAAATGTTTAAATCATGTTAAACATATCTGTCTTCTCAAACATTTCTCATTTTTCTGTAGTAAAAAGTTAAAATCCTTCTTGTTTTATCAAACTTGCTGTTATGACATTATTGTTGTCTAAGTCACACTACTGTGCATGAACCCACCAGAACTTCTTGTTCCTGTCTAGCTCAACAGCCTACCCTCCGTTCAGCCTTTTCCCAGCCTTCTCCTAGAACTCTTCCCACCCCCTGGTAACCACCATTCTACTCACAATTTCTGTGAGATCAACTTTTTATATTCCTCATGGAAGTGAGATCACAAAGTACTTGACTCCCCACCTAGATTCTGTTTATATTTCCACATATACATCATCACTGTGCCTTACCTTTTTTGATAAATTTTGATTGAAATTGCAAATACCAGTATATTTTCCCTACACACTTCAGTGTATATCTTTACCTTCAGTATATTTCTGAGTAGCTTTTCTTACATACAGTGAAGTACAGCAATTACAAGTCATTACTGGCAGAGTTCTACAGGTGTATCTGTCTGTGTGAACCAGACCCTGTCTAGATCCCTTGTGTCCCTTGTCAACCCGATCCCTATGCATTTAAGCTGCTTCTATGATTTGTCCCATAGGATTAATTTTTCCTATACTGTGGCAGATCTTCATAAAATGGAATCGTGTTGTATGTTCTCTTTGTGTAAACTTTTTCACTCAGCATGTCATCCACATCATTACGTGAATCAACAGTTTGTTCCTTTTTTGTTGTTCCGCTGTATAAGTGTATTTATTCTTTCATTCTGTGGGTAAAGGGTGATAAAAATATTCAAACACAGATCTTTGTGTGGTCATGTACACCTTTTTTCTCTTGCTGAATGCCTATGGGTAGACTTTCTGGGTCATAGGGTTATTTTATAAGGGATTACCACTACTTTCTCCAAGTGAATTAATGTTTTTATATTCTCACTCACAAGTTTGATAGGTCTAGTTTGTCCGTATCACTTGAAAATGTTTTCATAATGAGGGAGAACCAATAGAGGAAGAGAGTTCCTCATCCGTATTTGTAAACTTTTAGGCTTTAGTAAGTGTAATTTTGCATATCCATTCTCTTTATGCTTGATACGATAGTAGGGTGGGGGTATTGATCACCAGTTCCCTTTAGTCCTGGTCCCAGATTTGGATGTGGGTAGGATGAATATATTCTGGCCCTGATAATTTTCTATAAAGCGACATTCTAAAGTGAATTCTTTTTTTCTTCCAAAGCAAGATTTTTCCTCTAAGCAGATCAGAATTTAAGATGGGCAGGGAGAGTTAGGGGCTAACGTAGGAACTCATAAAGTGGAACTGTTGTGATAAGACCCTAAGTGTCTGTCTCGTATGTAAAGCTACCCAACAGGTGACCTGTGCTCTGGTTTTAGCACCTCTGTGCAGAGCTCACTACTTCTCAGTAAGAGGAGGTTTGCTGTGATTCTGCAGCTGCCGCGCTGGACTCCTGTCCTCTCATTTTTCCTTTGATCAATACAGGTGTTCCATGACTAGAATCTTCGTTCTTCTGGTGAGCTGAGGTCTGGCTTTCTTGAGAACTTCTGCTGTCCTTTCTGCAGAATGCAGAATACTTTGGCATTTCTACTACTTTAAAGTGGTAGATGTATGCAGTCTTTGTAAATAACTGTCCTTCATTTCCAAAAGCATAAAGTTACCATCAGGCAAAGTCAATACTCTTCTCATTAGTGATGAGGACTTTTTGTCAGCAAAATGACAGCATTGCTGGGACTGTCCATCTCAAATGTATGACAGTCTGACAAGAGGTTTACGCCCTGTGTTAAATAGGAGAAGTGATGCATAAATTGAGCACACCATAAAATTCACTTAACTGCTTTTTTGCTATTTGATATCTTGAATTCCATCAATAGCTATTTTCCAAAATCTTGCTACTTTTTCATAATCTGAAAGTGGATTTAGCAAAGACAGAAGTGGCAGCAGTACACCAGGCAGCATTGTCAATGTACAGCAGTGTAGAAAGACTATGCAAGAGCACAAGAAATGCCTTTCATTTTTTCTTGGGAAATATGTCCTTAAATTTTACTTGATCCTGGGTAGCTGTGTGTGATTCGCCAGAATTAGCAACTCTTAACTTTGGTTAATTTTTATTTCATGGCTTTGGCATTTGTTCCTGCCTCCTTTTTTTTTTTTGTTCTGCATTAAAGAAAAAAAGACGTCATGATTTATTCATACATATTCCTGCTGCACATTTTTTTTGGGTTGCATTTTCTCACCATTCCATGCTCCATGTAGCTTCTGCCTAGCAAGGAGGATGAGGACACTATCAAAATTGAAGAGGATGATGAGAATAATTTCCAAAGTGACCAGCATTTGGAGCCAAGTAATGAGGTAGGAACGCGGCAGTTAACTCCTTATTTTATCCAGGCCACTCTGCTGGAGCCGGCCTTTGGTTTGGAATGTGTCCAGTGCGTTTCCTGTTCACTCGCCTGTATTGACTGCCTGCTGTATGCCATTCTCTTTGCTGTCAGAAGTTATAAACTGGATGATAGAACCAGTCTTAAAACATGAGGACAAACTGTCGTTGCCAATAAAAAGAATAGAATAATAGGGATAGGATGTTGAACCTGGATAGATGTCTGGAGATCTGATTCAGTCTATTCATTTTATCCTTTGGAAACTGAGGCCTTTGAGGGGAGATGATTGATCTGGAGCCCAGAGTAGGTCATTGTCAGGGTTGGGACGAGAACCCTCAATTCTAGACAGCCAAGAACTCTCAGGTCACTTGAATGCAATGTAAGGGGACATGGATGGAAGTAAGTGACCTTCTTCAGTCTCCTGGTGTTATCTGGGGTTGTTGAGAATTTGACCCCATCCACACAGAATGTTTTTCCTGCCATACCGCTACTGATGGAGTATACAGTCTCCAGGGTCTGAAGAATCCTGCAGATTGGAGCTGTGGTGAGAGACAGGAGGCTACAGGTGTGGCATTTTCAGTCTTCACAATGTTCAGGATATGTCACGAACAGGGGATACTACGGTGGACTTAGATCCAGCGGGCAAAGCAAGTGAAAACAGGGCTTTGGAATCAGATAGGCCTGATTTTGAGTCCTAGCTGTGGCACTACTATCTCTGGTGATCTTGCTTAACCCTTGCTTAATCTTTAAGCCTGAGTTGCCTCATCATTGAGGATAGTAACTCTTTCTTTCTTTCTTTTTTTTTTTTTGTACCAGGGATTGAACTTGGGTCCTTACACTTGCCAGGCAGGCGGCAAAACCACTGAGCTAAATCCCTGGCTCTAGTAACACTTCCTTTAGGATTGTTGTGATACTTGAAAGTCATATAATAAGTGCTCAGTAAATGATAATAATTACTATTTTTATTATTCTATTCTAGACTTTTCCATTGTTGGAGGTTTCTTGTTTGATGGATTGCATAACTAGATTGGTGGCAAAGAACACTTATAAATAACAGCTCATTTGTGTGGGTCTTGTCTTTCATTTTAAAAAAGTCTTAATCATTTTTCCAGTGTGGAAAGATGGGGGTGATGGCTAGTTTGTATATCACTAGCAGCAATGAAGTGAAGAGGAGTTATTTATAGACTGGTAGAAGAAATTTACACCTTTGGGTAGGGGAGAGAGAATGCTAATTGTAGCACCACAAGACATGCCCAGAACAGGCTTTAACTGGATGCCTCCTTGGTGCCACTCTTCTGGGACTCTCAGTGACCCAAGAAGGTGGATCTGTAAATAACATCTCTGTGGGAATTGAGAATCCTCCACCTTCCTAACGAGTCACTTTAAAGCCATGTTAATTAGTGTGTGTCTGTAAAGAATGATTTGGCTTTCTCGTGTGGGCAAGAAAATGTTCAGAGCACTATTGATGGCATGGATTCCATGACCTCCTCAGGAAGCACCTTTAAGGAGATGGCTGTTAGGTGGGAGAACACATGTCTGTTGTGTACCTGTAGGGAGTAAGACATTTAACTTGACTCATTCACTTCATTTTATTCTCCAAAGGAGGTAGCACTGCTGTCCCTGTTCTATAGATGAGGAAACTGAGGGTGCCTTGAAGTGAGTGTGTGTGCACCTGTATGCCTGTGTCTCTCTTTTTCCTTCCTTCTCCCCTTTAATTTTCTCTCTGCTTATTTGTGCTCATTTGTCCTGCATCTGTATCCTTTTCCTGCCTTCCATGTACTCTCTTCTACTTCTCCATGTCTTCGATTTGACCAAGTACTTTTATTTACAGATTATGGAGGACTGTGCCAAAGGAGGCTGTAAAAATGGATATTTAAGGCACACAGATGCCAATGTTGTAGACTACCATGGTGCTCATAAGGCTGGCTGCCCTGGAGACCAGAATCTAGAAGGCGGCAACCTCTTGGGCCTACTTGCCCCTTTCTTCAGTGAGAAAGCCATGCTGTCACCAGAATCCAGGTAGGTGTGGGACCCAATCATGGCTTTGTCCCTCAGGTTTGAGAGGAGAAAGCACTCACTTTGTTAAATGGATTTAGATGGTGGTGCTGTATAATATACCTGAGAGAGCTCCCAAAATGGCTTGGAAGGAATCTTGCCAGTTGTGCAATTAGGTAATTAGTCTGTGCACTGGTAGCCGTGAGGGGGCTTCAGCGCAGCCTCATGCAGGCCCGTTAGAAAGAAGCAAAAGAAAGCTTTCCTGGAGAATTATTCCTAGGAGCCCCAGAAATGGCTGGTTGGCTGTTGGTGAGAGAATTCAGCCCTGCTGGAATCTCCTCCAGTTTCTACAACAGTTTAAAAAATACCATTGTAGTTGTGACTCTGCTGTTTTATGTTGCACTTGAACTAAAATTCTCTTCTCATTATATCTGCTGGGAGTCATTCCTATGTGAGGAAACACTACAGGTTGTTTTCCTTAAAACAAAAAAAGGAGAAACATTCAGTACATTTGTATGTTTTAAATTAATCCTTTATGAGTCGTTTTCTCTTTCATATTCCTTTTAGTTCATCTATGACAGGTGCTTTGGCTTTGGGCTGAGAAAGAACTGTGCTTTCATCTCTCAGTGTCTTAGTTTCTCTGATCACTTCTTAGGGTTGCTATGAGGAGGACTAAAAATCTTTAAGAAAAGTAGGTAGCGTGCGTTATGTGTTCAATGAAAGTTTTCAGTTCTTTTCTGTACAGATAGTCATTAACTACTGTCCAAGACCTCTGGCTAGAGCCAGGCATTCTAGTATTTCTTATGCCATTGATTGGCTAAGATTTAGGTCATTGATGGACATTTTCAGCTATTGCAGGTAATCTTCTTGGTCACTCAGCATTGCCTGAGTTGGTTAGTGGTAGCATTATTGGAGAATTTTCTAGGGGAAATAATCAGTATTCTCATTGGTTGGGGAAATACCAGTTACCTAGACATTCCATTGGGGTGTTAGGGAGTGTTTTCCTTGCCCTGGAAAAAGCAGAGTTTGAGGGAGACAGACCGAGCTCCTATTTAGCTGTACCATTTAGATCTTGTCCCATCTATACCTATCTTTGTTTCTTTATCTGTGAAGGAGGATTGGGTAGGGTGATGACAATTATTTACCACATAGGTCTTATCAGGGTTAAATGAAATAATGGATACATAGGTTCAGATCAGTACTAAGTGAGGTTTTGGCAATATTACTCTATATATTGTACCCTTCCAATTATTGCTCCTAACCCCAGGTAAGATTCCTGGCATATAAGTATAGCAGGGATTTATGCCTCTGTATTCACTCATGAGCCAGCGTCCGATGACCCCAGTGCACAGGTGTTATAGACCCAAGCCTAAGCTGTCTCGGTCTTTGAGCTCCTCTGCCTTCCAAGCATCAGTCTACCTTGAGACCTCAAGGGGCAGCACAGTGGCTAGGCCCCAGGACAACCCTGATGCAGTGAACCTGTCCTTTAGGATGGTCTAGGAAGCGGCTTATCTACTAGTTACACTAGTCAATATTCTTTCTAATAGAAATAGAATAGTCTTACTAGTTACAGTCATCTTTCACTTGATCAGAGTAATTCGTTAGTTGAAGGTGGAGTGAAAAGGTCAGTGGGGCTCACCTTGAAGAATGGGCTGGCAGGTCCCTCCTCTGCCTTGGCATTCACTGTGTGTGGGATGCCCAGCTCTTGTTTTACATGCTTCCAGCTCATTTGGCGCCCACTCCTTAGGGAACATGGTTTGAGATTTTACCACCTTAAGTTTTTGGTGTGTTTAGCCTAAAATTAGGTATGATACTTCATAGCTTAAAAATCACAAAAATGTAAAAGGGGAACTTTTGGGGGATGACATGCTTATTTAAGAATTTAAGAAAGAGTGAATGCAGGCCAGGGATTTAGCTCAGTGGTTCTGCTGCTTGCCTTTTAAGCATCAGGTCCCAAGTTCAATCCTTGGTAGCAAAAAACAAGAAAAAGAAAAAAGAAAGAATGAATGCAGTCTTGAGCTTCAACTAAGTAGAGAGGTCAGGTCTTGGGAGATCTGATTCTGCAGTTCTGGGGATGGCTGAGGGACGGGTAAGGAACTACCAGAATGTGAACCTGTCAGGGGTCCATAGGTCTGCAGAGGATCAACAAAGGGACTGAGTATATTTTGGCTAGAGGAGATGTCTTGCTTTAAGGTAGATTCCATATTAGAGAGGGACTAGACTATAGGTGTTCAACAGGACCCCGGAAACCTAACATCCTCCTGGGTGCTCCCCGCTCCTTCACCTCCCCAAGTTAAGACCCAATCAGGTTCCTCTTAAATAGCTCTTGAATTCATCTACTTCTCTCTATCTCTGTTGCTTTTAGCATGCATCAGATTTCTCCAGGATCACTGTAGTAGTTCCTTAATCAGTCCCTTGCAGTCATCTTTGCTCCTTTCCTGTCTTTTTTTGTCACAGATTTCCAGAGCAGTTATTTAAAAATTCAGTGTATCATCCTATCTAAACCCTTGAGAGGGTCTCTACCCTTCTTGGGGTCAGGATCTTTCCATGGCTTGCCAGGCCCTGTGAAATCTGGTAACTCTCTCCATTAGCTCTGTTTGTCCTGTTCTTGTCTTGCTTTCTGTGCTTCATCCTCAGTGCCTTTCTTCCAGTGCCTTGAAGGGGTCGAGTATCTTTTGTTAAGGGCCACTGTTATGCTGGTTCCAATGGATAAAACTCCTGCTTGCCCACTTCCATCCTCCAACCCCAAGCCCTGTGTTGACCCCATTCTTGTGTAGTATCCAAGCCTCCATAAGACCCTGATATGGTCAGACACTCAGGTTACTTATGGTCATAGGACATGTCATACTTTATGAGCCCTCAGCATGGCACAGCACAGGGCTGTTTTGCAGCTTTTCTTCTCCCTTACTCTCATCCCTTCTTGGTTGATGACCTTGCTCCATACATCACTGAGAAAACTAAAGCAGTTGAACTCAAACCACTGCTTGACTCTATTGCTATAAACTCTGTCTTTCTGACTCTTAGAGTAGAAGAAATCTCTCTGTTCCTACCAGGATCAGCCCTCCCTGTGGCGTAGTTCTGGTCCTTTTTTGGCCATTCTCTTTTCTGCGTCAGTAGTGTTTTTTCCTGTTACTGAATCACTGCAGTAGCCCCATAAACATAAGGCATACCTGATACCTGACAGTTGGGAAAAGTACCCCTTGCCCTCTGATTTCACATCGATTACAGCTACTGCCCACTTCTTGAAAGATTTGTTTATATTTACTGCATTCACTTTCTTCCATCAATTCTCTTTTTACCATTCTAAGTGTTTTGATAACTTGTCCTATGCCTATCAAGGTCAACAATAATTTTTAAGTTGCCAAATCCAGTGTCCAAGGTCCGCTTCTCAGCAGCAGCCAGTCTCTCTCTCTCTCTCTTTCTCTCTCTCTCCCTCTCCCTCCTCCTCTCCTATTTCCTTATGCCCCTGTGGCTACTTCTGCTCAGTTTTGTGTTTGGAGACTCTGTTCTCAGCCCCTTGCTTTGCTTCATCTCTCCTGTCTCTATTGATGTTAGAGTGTGCTTTGTGGCTGCTGGATTTGTGCTTAGAGCCCAGTCCTGTTCTCCATGTTGCACAGCCAGCTTTGTACTGGGCATCTCCACCTGCATGTTAGCTGACATCCCTCCATGAACTGATGGAAATCCAACTACTTGTTCCAATCTACTTCCTCCCTATTCTTTCTCATGTCTGTTAATCGCATTGCTGTCTATCTAATTACTGTTAGCAGAAGTGCAATTTCCTCAGTTCCCATGTCCATTAGCAAATCCTACTGATTGCATCTCTAAGATATATTCCTAGTCAAACCACTTCTCCATTTCTACCTTTCTAGTCCAAACTTCTGTCATCTCTACCTGACTCCTCTAATAGCTGAGCCTCATTTGTCTCCCTGCTTCCATTCTCCACAGTTATCAAAATGTTCTATTTATTTATTCATTTATTTATTCGAGGTACTGGGGATCAAAACACCTTGTACACAGTAGGCAGTTGCTCTACCACTGAGCTCCACCTCCAGCTCCCAGAAAGATCTTTTGAAAGTTTAGATCAGATCATGTCTCTTCCATTCTTAAACCTTCCAATGACAGAGTAAGATGAGACCCAACACCTACCATTTTTCTGCCTCCCATCAGTCACCTCTCTTGTTCACTGGCCCTTGGTCACACTGACCTTTCTGTTCTGCATGCATCCAGGCTTGTTCTCACTGGTGGGATTTGGAATAGTTGTTTGCTCTACCTGGAATGTATTTTATCCATTTGTATATGACTAGTAGTGTCTCCGCTAGATATCAGCTCTGCAGACAGGCGTTTCCTGACCACTCCATCTAAAGAGAATCTTATTTGATGCTTTGTCTCTGGATTTATTTCTTTGTTCTTCCTTACCTCTTGTTCATATTACTTATCATTACTTTACATTGAATTACTTAGTTATCAATATATGTGACTGTCTGTCTTCTCCTTAACAGAATGTAAGTTCCATTATTCATTTTCACAATGCATAACCACTGCCTTACATGTCATATTGAAAGTACTTAATAAATATTTGAATGAACAGGAGGACAATTAATAGCTCAACCTGCTATCATAAGACAAGTGTAGAAAACAAGGAAGAGTTAATTCTGCTTTGGAGTCAAAGGGGGTTGGTTCTAAGAGAGATCCTGAGTCTCTGTGAGCCCAGTTTTTCATCTGTAAATGAGGTCAGTAATAGTTCTCCTCTCACAATCTGAGTTTGAGGATTCAGTGTATTTAAAGGATGAGGCCCATGGTAAGTGCTTAGTAAATGTCAGTGCTTTTCTCTCCACCTTCTGTGTGGCACAGATGCTTGGAAAGGGCATGTAAACACTTTCTGGGGCTCTGAAAGGACCCTTGAACTGAACCATTCCAAAGGTCCTGATTACAGTGACAGCTTAATGAATCTGCTATTCAGATTTCCAGCAAAGTAGCACTTGAAATGCTTTATTTAATAGCATCACTGCTTTAGTATACTGTAA